GGGGGTTGGTTGGAGCGGGGGAAAAGGGTCACAAGAATTCTTTTTGATCAATTGATAAGTAATTCCTTAGTGATTAGAACTTGTAGATTGTTAACGAAGGCTTGTTCAAGGGAAAGAATTCCTGCCCTGATGGCTGGCTACAATTCAAAGAGTCCTGCTATTTCTTTGAGCACCAAAAAATGGACCAAGAGCTGGCAGAGAGAAGATGTTACAAGCAAGGAGCTACACTATTCGTTGCCAATACACTCGAAGAATGGGTGAGTCTGGTTTGTATCAGAATAGCAAGGAAGATCTACAGTAATAAAGTAATGCACTCCTTCATTCAGTAAATAAACAAATGAATCGTTAAACAAATAAATCGTTGAAGTAACTGTGGATATTGTAGAACACCGTGCTGAAAAGATCTACGATCAATTTTTGGACATGGATTGGTCTGGTTCAGATGGACGACATGCCGACGCCCAAATGGCAGACCAGCGGTGCCATCCAGCTCTCAAAACTGTGAGTTTACTGGTGTTCTTCTCTGTTACTGAAATCTTACGAGTTGTAATGTCTTTGTGTAAATTTAACTCGAACTATTCTGTTTGATGGGTTGTTTTCTGGATTCGGGTGTTTTTGGTTTCATAGAGTTTTCGCATACTTAAAAAATACTTAAGAACCGTTACCTTGTACCGTTACCGAGAGAAAATCAGTCGGAAGTGGTTCTTGAGCTGAGAATAACTTTTTGAGCTCATCTCTTATCCTTATGTTTGGACGGACAGATATGGAGTACTGGCAAAAGGCGCGACTACCACACTTAAAGTCGTTAGAACGAGTTCTGAAATAGTCCACTCGAAAACAAATTGCTCTTTCGGGAAAGTCTGGCTCTTTTTGGACGAGTCATCTACGCTGGGTCCTTCAAGTAGGACCAGACTCTTTCGGGGGCTTAATCGCAAGGACTTATTGTGTACTGTAGGTCTTTTAGTAATATTAGGTGGACGAATGTCAACGATCGATTTCTGAATAATTTTTGCCAGATAATTCCCGAAACTCTTACCGAGTTCGATAAAACGGTTCTGAGGAAACCTGAAAAAGCATCTTTTTTCTAGATCCGGGCTTTTTATCCGAAGTGCCATTTAATCTCTAACAATTCTCCAAATCAGCCAGCAGATTTGGCTCTATAACTATTTTAGATCACTCTACATAATTTCAGTAATTGGCTGCTATCACCATATCAAGTTGGATCAAATGGATGGTCCACGTTTTCTCAGTGTGCAGCCCATTTCAACTCTCAATTGAAAACCTCATCGTATATGTATTTCTATCCTTGTACCTTACAATTTGCATCAATTTGCGAACGAAATTCCTCTTCAGTGTACCGTTTGTAACAGCATTTTTAGAAAATTAAATATTTACCTCTGCCATTTATAATACTATTCGGATCAATTCATACTTACTCAGCCTCAACACGACTTATTTTCAGTCTATTTTTCCTTACGGTTCACTTTTCTTGTTCTATAAATGATAACTAATAAAGTTTCAGAATTTTTATCATCGAAATCCTTAAATTAGCCTTGGTACTCAATCTCCTGACTACATGTGTGGTAGTAGCGCCTCATGCCACTGCTCCATGTTCACTCAGCGAAAAATGCACATTGTGATTTATTTATTCAATACCAGCATAACATATACACTTTCAATGATCGAATAAGGCTCATTACAAAATTGGCTGAGAGATGGGTTTGAAAAAAATGGGGAAGTAATGAGAATCAAGGTGATTCTCCCTTCCCACAAACAACGTCCCAATGGCAGTGCTCCATTTTCTGGCAATCACGCCCATTCTCATAGCTTGATCGCCTTCGCTTAGGATCTTTGAAAACGGAAAAGTTTAATAACTAGTGTTACAGCAACGGAAAAATAGTAGAATACTTCACTGGGAAATTATTCATAGCGGATAATTCATATCATTTCGATTGTAGTAATAATTTATATTTACAGTTTGGTTTTGTGTAGTCATGGTTTGAGTATCTGGCAATATGTGTACAGTTAGTACAGTCTATCAAGACAACGGATAATAAGACCATATTTACAAACAGAAGACCTCCAAAACACTGTCGTTTTTAGCCCTCGACAACTACCCATTCATCTTCATCTATCTTGGCCACACTCACTTTCGACGCCAACGGCGAAGCCTGAAATGGAGAAATCCAAGTGGGTTATTTACAACCTTTTGTTAGAATTGAGGTGAACACAAGGTGGCTCTGGGCCAGTTTCGTAGGTTGTTGAATTGAATCTGAGGTGAAAACGAATCCACCGTTTGCCCCTAAAAGGTGTGGTGTAGAGAAAAAAACTGCAGGATGGTATTCGGTAGATGAACATTCCTAGTCGCGCCAGAATTCTTCACACAGCAGGGAGCAGGAGGAGTGGGAGGGGCGGGGGTTGGGAGGTTGAGAGGAACAGAGAGGAAGGTCAGTCTCATAACTGGAGCTGCAGAAGACTTTCTAGTCCCACTCAATGACAATAACCTCCAAGACCTACCACTAATCATGCAGGCAAGCATTTAGCTAGATCTAATTGTAAGATCTTTCTTTGCAGATTCACTGATGCCAACTACTTCTCTTAGTTACTTACTGAAGCCACTTATTTGTTTATATTGTGCCATGATAGGTCTAACGATGTTTGGGATTAAACTTCGTTCAAAATAATCGAACCTCAGACTGAAAATTGGGGAGAACCAGAGCCTCTTAAATTTGTTTTTTTCCGGAATTAATTTATGGGACCCCGTCTTTGCAATAGCAACAAAACTACTCGAGTGATTTAAGTTTTTGGGTCAAAGTAAGCAACTTACATCATCTGCCGACATAGTCCCAGAAGAACAGCAAACCCGGACACCGCTCACATTAGATTCGTTGCAGAAGAAACCACGGCCACACTCGCTTGAGCTGTTGCACCTAAGCAAAGAAACATATTCCAATGTGAAAATCTCATCTCAACTCAATTTTTAATGTCATTCTCCTGATATTTGACCATTTTGAAGCGTGAGAGGTTCCTAAGTTGTATGATGAACTGAGCAAATGGCTGTTTATCACACACGCATGGTCGAGTGATCGAATCGCGGGTTGATTCTCGCCTGGGCCAATCAAGTTTTTCATTTCTGCTAATGTAAATCTGTAAGTTAGTAGGGTACTAGGGAAGATTAAAGCTCTAACTTGTACAGAGGTTGGGCTCTCGAAGGTATTGTACGGGCTACATATAAATTCGAAAATACCACAATGATTTTGAATGGAAGTCAAGTGCGGAGCGCATCCCAAAGAATGACATTTCGTAACTCATTTCGATGACTGCCGAAGAATTTATCCTTTGAATAGTTGTTTCGAATTCTGTCTGACACTAGACCCTTTGCCAGCATCCTTCCATTCCTACGGTGTAGAATATATAATATCTATCTTCAAAAAGTATCTAATCGAATAAAAGAAATGTAGCAATAAGAAACAGCCTGAAATGTTTTTTAACGGAATAGGATTTGTTTAGATAAACAGAGATAAACAGAAGCTTTGGGAAATAAATATGTATTAAAAGCCTGAAACTAGCAAGTTCAAAGTAGTTCAAGATTCACTCAAATACTATGCTCCAAGTTTACGAGAACTAAAGAAAATCGTCAGTTTTTTTTTTTGGCTAATTTTAGGCTCTCACCTATTTGAGGCGAAACATTCAAAGAATTCTGAATCGAAAGAAATAAAAATAAGGTAAAAGAATAAAACCAATAAAAATTGAAAAATCTGAGACGAGGATTTTTGGGTAACAACTTTTTTAAAATTTGAACGACTTTTTCA